GGGCTGGAGGAAAGAAGGAGGGGAGTCTTGGATCTAGATCAATTGCTTCAAGATGAAGGTTGGTTTTAAATTGTCAGATTTTACATATCTTTATTTATAGAAGCTAGGTGTGTGTACACATAACATACCATATATAAATACGCACACACACGTGTGCCTGTTTGTGTGTGACAAATACCACAGGTTTTATAAAGAACTTGGGTTGTTGTAACATTGAAATGAAACACTCCCTTTGTTCCCTTGCTGGTGGAAATCGGTAATGTTTATTTCCTGAGGATAGGAAATCACCAAAGAAAGGAATTTTTCAGTTGTAAACTGTGCCAAAAATGTCCTTCCCCCAGTCCAGCAGTGGTTGTTCTTGTTGGCTATGTCTGCAGAAACAGAATGAGAAAGAAGGGAGTGGAGGGAAAGCCTGACAGAATCTGGGCTGGGGCATGAAGGGGTTACTGACTGCATTGCATTCTCTGTCTGCAGCTCCAAGCAAAACCCAGAGAGACAGTGATGTCAGCACTAACTTCCATTGCCCAGGGCCCCTTGCCTGACAGTGTAGATGATCCAACACATTCCAATCTACCACAATCAGAGGTTCATGCTGCTATTTCATGACTTCTTCAGATGAAAACATGTGGAGTTAAATATATATACAGTCTAATGTACACATACAGATTTCAGCAGAAATAGATCATCGATGGGAAACAAGCTGCAGTTTTCTCTGCCTGGTACTCAGTATCTATGTTGATCTCCTCATTGAGAAAAATACATGTTCATGTAGCTAAGAGACAATTCCTCTGTGAATATTTTAATATTGGGTTCAGCTAGCACTGTCACGTAAGAGGTAGCCAGACAGAATTGGAGATAAAGTAAAAGGTGGGGATTAGGAAAATAGGAGAGCGAGAGAAAATTCAAACTTGTAAACAGAATAAAACTTTTTTTTTAATTTTCTAGTGCTATTCTTTTAAAGCACTTGTGGCAAAGCAAGGTCACAAGTGGATTGTGTAGCTCCTGCAGAACAAGGTCACAAGTGGGTTGTGTTGCTCATGTCCAGCTGCCGGTGATAAAGAGAATGTTACAAGGAATCCCTTTGCATGTTGGAGTGGAATGAAATGCTCTGGGGAATCGCTGGCAAAGAGAAGCTTTTTGTTTTCCTCTGGAGTGGGAGCCAAATGTTGGAGGAAACTTGTAGCAATAACAGGATTTTATTGATAATTTTTTATGTCTGCGTGTTTAAATTGCATATATGTGTGTGTGTGTGCCTGTGTCTATATGTTGCTTTATCTATTATCTGTATGTCTCCGTATTTGTCCATCATTCGGTATCTATATTTCTCTGTATGTCTCATTTGTCTGTGTATGTGTATGCATGCATTTTCCATTATTATACAATCAGAGAAAGGCAAACCCGATGATAGTTCTTGATTTCAGGATTCAAAAATATGGGTGAGAGAAATTCTGTCACTTTTGTCTTTCTCATTCTCCCTTTGTTTTTGTTTTTTCCCCAGATTCCCTCTCTCCCCCATCAGTTATTTCTCTTTTTCTTCAGCTCTTTTCATCCCCCAGCTTGTAAATGCTTGTTCCTGTAGAAAAGTCTCAAAATTAATCTATTTCTGCTTGGTCATAGAGTCTGACTCCTTTGTATGATACATCCTTGTATATTTTACTCTTTTTTTTTTAAACTTATTGAAGGCTTCAACCTTGCAAATTCCTATGAACTGTTCTGGTTTGTGTCTCCCCTTCATTTGGCCCCTGACTAGAAGATGCATAATTTTGGAGAGAAAGAGAAGCTGCTGTGGTCCCCAGTGGCTCACTGGGGTCTTGGTGGCTGGTTTAGTTGGTAAAACCCTAATCAGGTACTGGAAGGGGTAAGGCCAAAAGTTTAATGTAGGATAAAAACGCAAACCCCTTAAATCTCTTAGTGTTCAGCTTAACCTTGCTTTGACTCTGAAGAGATGACTGCAAGGGAGGATGAGCTTGTATTAGAAACAGGATTCTCTCTTTCTGCCCAGACCCTGCTATGCCAGTTCCAGTATTAATCAGCATCAGTAGTGCAAATCTTCTGTATTGATTTCTGTCAGTTGAGGGTCAGACCTGCCTTACTTCCCCATTAGTGTAATCAAGGCTAAGAACCTGACATTGCTCTCAAGTGCTTTTTTCCTCTGTTTGCTAAGATAAATTCATGCCCTGCCCTGGTGCAGGATCACTCAGCCCTCCTGCAACTTGGATGATGGAAAAACTGTCAAGAAAACATGGGGCAGGTTTTAACAGAGATTGTATTTCACTAGTGATAGAATGGGGGAGCTGCCCCTGATGTCAACCAAACATAATGAGGTATATAGACAGAATATAGTAGTAATATGCATAGTGCCTGACATCACCCCCAGGATCTCAGAGTGCATAGTAAGCACTAATTAAACCATTAAAAGAACTTGAGATGGATTTGAAACTGGAGTGCTCCTAGGCTTCCCTGGAAAAGGGAGTATAGTTTAGTGATCTGAGCACAAGAAATCTTGAGTTCATTTCCAATCTTTGCAGCTGACTTGCTACTGGTACATCATTTTAGGCAATTCTCTTCATTGCTTTGTGCTTCAGTCTCTTCTCCCCCCTTCCCCCGCCCCAGTAACATCTCCATAATTTACAATGGGGTGTGTAATATTGTTAAACTTCACTGAAGATACAAAGTACTTCAAGTATTAATTGTATAATATATAATGAATCCTCAAAACCAGTCTGTGAGATGGATATAATAATGATATGTGGAGCTCTTTGTTGTCTCAGATTATCATGTCTGTTAGAGAGGTTTAGTGACTTAGGTGCTCACACACAGTGAGTCAGATTTAGTCTAAGAACTTATATTGGTATCCCTGTGTTGCCCAGAGGTGTGGAAAATCTACACCCCTGAGTAACTTTGTTATGCCCAACTAACTGCCACCGTAGGCTGTACTAGGTCAATGGAGGGCTTTTCCCATCAACATAGTTACTGCCTCTTAGGGAGGTGGAGTACTAGGGCAGTAAGAGAAACTCTCCTGTTCGCATAAGTATCATCTTGCACTGTTGCAGTGTGAACTTACCTTAAGTGTACACAAGCTCATAGTAGAAAATTGGAATAGAATTTCCAAGCCTTGACTCCTAGTCTCTTAGGGTATGTCTACACAACCACCCTAGTTCGAACTAGGGTGGTTAATGTAGGCAACCAAAGTTGCAAATGAAGCCCGGGATTTAAATATCCTGGGATTCATTTGCATCTTACCGGGCGCCGCCATTTTTAAAGCCCCAGTAGTTCGGACTGCGTGCCCGCGGCTACACACGGCACGGAGTAGGTAGTTCAAATTACTAGTTCGAACTAGGGTGGTAATGTAGACATACCCTTACAAAACTCACTGGAGCACGATCCTGGTTACAACACTTTTGTTATATTTCAGCACTTTTGTTAGTAGCATTATTTCCATTGGGGTGTGGATAGCCCTGACCATTTTGACGGGGGGGAAGGGAAAGGGGGTGAAGAAATCTCTGTAGCTCAGATCCCCAATACCATCTTTCCCTTAGCCGGGAATATTCAGTCACGGCTGCCCAGAGGACATATTCTGGGAGATTTCAGAATTTTATTGAGTAAATTCTAGTTTTCATTTATGACTGAAATAAACAAAGGTGTCAGCCAAAGCAGTGCTGCTGAGGAGCTTGTCACACTCCAGTGCTAGGCAGCTGCGGCTGCTGCTTTGGAGACAGATTTATTAAGATTATTAGTAAGTGTTATTTGGAGGTGACTGAAATCACTTGGTGAGCTCCAGAGGATTAGCCTTCCAAAGATAGCAAAGGCAAAAAAAAGAAACCTCAGACAAACAAGCTACCTAGTACTAGTTGTATTTATTTAATGAAGTCTCTGCACAAGATTAGCTCACAAGCAATCACTTGTTTTCGTGGCAGAAGATATGGGGGAGGGAAAATGGAAAACATTTTAAGAAGCAGCTCCCTCTCTTGTCTGGCTCAACAGGTAGGAGATTGCTTTTGCTGGGAGGGCCCTGGGTGAGAAGGCATCACCGTTTCTTGTGTTGCTGTTTGCTGACTCCCTAACTATACTGCACCTGTGATACAGAAGTAACCTTTATTATGAAGGCTGTATGCAGGGAAAATATATCAGTTAAAATGGATACTTGTGTCTTGGGCACTGATTCAAACTGGTTTGAGACAGAGGAGTAGCTTGAAGGAGGAGTAATAATCAGGGTAATTTTCTGCCATTCTCCAACACCTTTCATCACAGGATTTCAAAATCCCTTGCAAACCTTAATTCATTAAGCATCAGATCCCCTCTCTGGTAGGAGGCAGGTCACAATTATTGTTCCCAGATGTGGAATCCAAGGTACTGTACAAGGTTCTGTGCCCTAGATCACAGAGGGAGACAGTGGCAGGTGACAATGGAAAGAGACCAAACAGACACAAGTATCATAGAATGAATAGAAACACTGATTTATGGCTTATTACAACAAGCTGAAACCCACTAATAATCACCCTCTCAGCTGCCTTCCTACCCCTTCTTTCCCCTCTGTGAATGTAGGGCTGTTAACAGGCCACTTCACCTTGAATGGTGCCTTGAAATGTGTGCTATTTATGCTAAACAATCTGTACCACCTTGTCTTTAGCTGGGAAGCTCTGAGTATGTTTCCCAGACCAGAAGAAGAGCTCTGTGTAAGCTTGAAAGATTGTTTCTCTCTCACCAACAGAAGAATAAAAGATATTTCATCAACTAATTTGTCTCTCTAATGCAGAAGGAGAAAGAAAAAAAGCATTTCTACCATAGGGATGTTAAATATCAGTTAACTCATGAATAACCTCATGAGTTGATTAACCTCATGAATTCTTATTGGTTAGTTGACTATTCAATAGTTCCTGGGCGTGGGGCTGGCAGCCAAGTGTGCTCTGGCTTCACTCCCAAGGAGCCCCCTGCCATTCCACGCTGCTGCCTCTTTATCAGAGCAAAAGGGCTCCCTCACCCCCAGATCAATCATGGTCTGTGGGTGAGGAAGCCCAGAAGTATCCTGGCCCCGCCCCTTCCATTGGAGGCCCCGCCCCTTCCAGAGCAGCCCCGGGCCAACTTCAACAATTTATTGCCCACCCCAGTCTAGCTTCTAATATACTTTAAATGCAGAGCCGCAGCAGGGATAGGTCCCAAACCCATTGCAAGCCAGGACTGAGCTGGGCTGCTGGCCAGCCTGCTAAAAAATTTACTGGCAAGTGGGGGGGCAGGGGAGAATATATGTAGTCTATAGCAGTGTTTCTGAGTGATTCTGTAGAACACTTTCAAACACATTAACTGGCCACTCCGATTTGTTGCCCCGGCAGCCACGGAGCATCGCGGCCCCCATTGGCTCCGTTTTATCCTTTGCAGCCAAAGGGAGCCACGGGAAGCGGTGGCCCGGCCCACGCCACTTCCCGCGGCTCCCCTTGGGTGCAAAGGATGAAACGGAGCCAATGGGAGCCACAAGGCTCCATGTCCGTGGCGTCGGTAAATTAAACAAACTGGGACAGCATGTGTTTCTGAGTGATTCCACGGAATGCTTTCAGAAACACTGGCCTATAGCATTAACCTATAAGTTTTTGCTTATTGGTTAATCATAAGAACAGCCATACTTGGTCAGACAAAAGGTCCATCTAGCCCAGTATCCTTTCTGCCAACAGTGACCAATACTAGATTCCCCAGAGGGCAGGATCGCAACAAGTAATCCTTGCGTGATCCCTCCTCTGTCACTTAACTCTAGCGAAACAGAGGCTAGGGATACCATTCCTACCCATCCTGGATAATAGCCATTGATGGACCAAACCTCCATGAATCTATCTAGCTCTTTTTGAGCCCTGTTAAAGTTCTAGCCTTCACTGCATCCTCTGGCAAGGAGTTCCACATGTTGACTGTGTGCTGAGTGAAGAAAAACTTCCTTTTGTTTGTTTTAAATCTGCTGCCTATTAATTTCATTTGGTGACCCCTAGTTCTTATATTGTGGAAATAAGTAAATACCTTTTCCTTATTCACTTTTTCCATAGCAGTCATAATTTTATAAACCTCTATAATATCCTCCCTTAGTCTCCTCTTTTCTAAGCTGAAAAGTCCAAGGCTATGGCTACACTACCGTTTTTTGCGGAAGAGGATATGCAAATGCAGTGCTTATTTGCATATCTTCCTCTTTTTTTTGTTTGTGTGTGTGGAAGAGGTTTTGCTGCTAAAAATCCCCATGTGCAAGTAATTCCTCATTTAACATGTGCCCACTTAAAACGTTTTTGCGATAGCACGATTTTTATTTTTTAGGGAATGTTTTTTGAATTACACGACTGTCCCCGGAATAACATGTTTTCCCCAGCTTCCCCCACCTCCCTGCAAAGCAGCAGAGGGTTTACCGCTCGCCACGCCATTCCCTACTGACTCCCCCTCGCTAGACGCCTTGCCCCTTCTCCTCCGCCCCCGTTTGCAGGCTGGCAGCTGGGTTTCACTTACGTCTACACTGCTATTGCATTCTTTTAACAGAAAATCGAAAGAACACAGGGTTTTTTCCAACATTGGTAATCCTCATTCTACAAGGAAGAACGCCTTTTCTCAATTGAGCTCTTCCGCAAAAAGGCATGCGTGGACACGGAAGAGGGAGTTTTTTTGAAAAAGGCCTCCAGGAAAAAGCACAGGTGCCCTGGTGGCCACTCCGTCCATAGTAATCACAACTTAAATGTGTGAGAGTGTCCACACTGAATGGACACTATCTTTCAATGCGCTTTGGCAGTGTGGACGCTCTTTTGGAAGAAGTTTTTTTGGAAGATCTCTTCTGGAAAAGCTTCTTCCAAAAGAATCCTGAAGTCTAGACATACCACTGGAGTTGTAGCCCCCTCTCCTTCCTTCAGAGCAGTACACAGTTCTGATCTGGGACAATATACACCATTGCCTGTGCATTCCATAACTTTGCTAAAAACCACAACAGAAGCTGAGCTCCTTAGTTTTGTAAGCCTGTTCAGACAGGAAAGGCCTTTGATTTCACTCAGACTTGAGCAGACAGGGGCCTATGAATGTAGCAACTCCTCCTTCAGCCAAGGGAAGGCCGCAGGACACACAGCTCTGCTCTCTTGAGATAAGCTGTCACTGGAAATGGGAGTAAATGAAATGGAAGAATAGGATGGGAATTTGGCTGAACAACATGACACTTGGGTGGTGGTAGAACTCTGTGCTGATCTGTGTATTTATTCCTGTGCAGGGATTGGAGGGCATGCCAGCAGGGCTCAAAGAAGTAGATGTTTGAAGCCCTATTGGTGAAGTTCCTGATTCCTGACAATGCAGCTCTTTGGGATATTAGTTTATGGCCTTAAATTCTTATTTAAATAAATGATTCCCAAATAATGAAAAAACTAGTAAAGTATTGGAAAGAGACTGAGAGCAGAAGAGAGGGAGAGAGAGAGAGAGAGACACTGTGGAATTACAGGAAAGAGAGGTGGCCTTTTTTTTTTTTTTTTTTTTTTTTTGGCAGGCTCCAACATTTCTGTAGCAGTAGTTACTTCCTCAGGTGAAGCTGGTGAAAGCAGAGCCCATTTTCTTTCATAAATAAAATGAAGGAACATGCATTAAGATGAGAGAGACTGGATTTTCTCCTCCTGAGAATTTCTCTCTGCATCTGAAAATATTCTCAGGCTAAGGAAATAGAACTTAAATTTCCATGGAACACTGGGGGGAATTTTTGCAGCAGGAACAAAAATATAATCAGAGGCTAGTATTTTATAACATTTGATATACTATAAAGCCCAAGGAGCTTTATCTTCTCTCTTTGGAATCAGTTATCTAGAACATATGTGCCATTGCGTGGCATTTTGTTGAGCCCGGGCTTTGTCTACACAGGCAGATGTAATGTGCTGGCGTTTACAGCACTGCTCACAGAGGCTATGTCTACACAGCAGCGTTATGTCAGAATAATGTTCGTTATTCCAAAATAACTATGCGAGCATCTACACAGCTAGCCCGTTATTTTGAAATAATTTCAAAATAATGGGTGGTTTATTTCGGCATTTGTAACCTCACTCCATGAGGAATAATGCCTCTTCCAAAATAGTTATTTCAGAATAGCAGTAGTGTGGATGCTCCACTGCTGCTATTTTGAAATAGTTCTTCCCTGGGCCATTCAAAGTAATTACTCCCCAGTGTTTCCTGGGACTCTAAATCGAGTTAGTGTGCCCACATTAGGGGAGCCTGCCTAGGACTAATTTGCAGGCTTCCTTGTAGTGTAGACACGCTATTTTGAAATAAGCTATTTCAGAGTATTTCTTCCAGAGTGTGGATGCTCCACTGCTGCTATTTTGAAATAGTTCTTCCCTGGGCCATTCAAAGTAATTACTCCCCAGTGTTTCCTGGGACTCTAAATCGAGTTAGTGTGCCCACATTAGGGGAGCCTGCCTAGGACTAATTTGCAGGCTTCCTTGTAGTGTAGACACGCTATTTTGAAATAAGCTATTTCAGAGTATTTCTTCCAGAGTATTTCTTCCAGAATACCGTATTTTCCGGCGTATAGGGCGACTGGGCGTATAAGACGACCCCCTATGTTTTTAATTAAAAGATAGGGTTTCATCTTATACCCCAGCGCCCCTCCGCCTCCTTTGCTCCCGGTGTCCCTGGTCTGCTGGAGATGGTCCCCAGCAGACCAGAGGCACCGGGAGCAAAGC